AGTGTCTGCCTTCGGCTCAAATCCCAGAATTGAGTCTCACATCACACTCCTTGTATGGAGCCTCCTTCTCCCTCTGCCTATGTCTCTGCCTCTCTCTGTGTGTCTCTCATGAATAAATAAACACAATCTTTAAAAATATATATAAATAAAAATGAATAAAAAAGTATAGCATAACAAACATTTAAAAGACCTTTCTTTTAGAACTTTAAAAAAAGAGCTACAGTAACTACAGAGAGCCATGGATTCTGAGTCTATTAGGCTCATTCACTAAGGATTATCACTAATCTTTTATTTTTAAAGATTTTATTTATTTGAGATAGAGAAGCCAAGCACATGAGGGGGGGGGGGAGAGGCAGAGAGAAAGAGAGAAGCGGGATCCATGCTAAGCAGGGGGCGAGGAGTGGGGCACAAGCCCAGGACCCCAGGATCATGACATGAGCCAAAGGCACACGCTTAACCTACTGAATCACCCAGGCGCCTGGATTATCACTAATCTCAGTCATACTCAAATTTGTGCTTTGGCAAAATCACAAATAATTTCCTGTCATCAATCTTTGAGGTGAAATGTAAGAGTTAAAATGGAAAGTATTAAAACTTTGAATGCCAACAGTATACTGTAGTTGCATAATAAATCTGTTGACTTAATAAAATAGAAGATTGTCTCCATCTCCTGATCCATAGAAAGTATGACACATGCTGCATTTTTTTTTCTCTTTAAAGATTTTATTTATTTATTCATGAGAGACACGCACAGAGAGAGAGAGAGAGGCAGAGATACATAGGCAGAGGGAGACATAGGATCCCCGGGAGGAGGCTGAAGTGGGACTTGATCCCGGATCCTGGGATCACACCTTGAGCCAAAGGCAGACGCTCAACTGCTGAGCCACCCAGGCGTTCCACATATTGCATTCTTGAATTGCTTCTTACTATCTTAGTCACTTTAGTCTTCATCTCTTTGTATGACTAAATTCCTGGATATGGTATTTCAAACTCAATTTGTCAACGTATTCAGTATTTTTTTGTTCCATGATGTTTTGCTAAGGACCCTGATGAATTTTAGTTTCTATCCTTTGCTGAATTGGCCATCAGGCTCAATTTATACTAATAATAGAGCATGCTATAAAATATGCTAATTTAGAGGATACACTTCTAATTTTTCTGTTCTTTAAAAATAATTAAGGTTAACTACAGGTGCCAATAAGTTTTCTTCAGTTAAATAAAGCTGCCTGAATACTGCATTAGATTATAGCCAGTAATTAAAATCCTTTGAGATGGTATCTTTCTAAGGAGATATTCATGGATTATTTTATAATGACATCCATAGTCTTCCCTCGGGTGTGTGAAAAGCCATCAAGAGAGTGATGTGTAAAGTTAGAGCACTGTAAATGGTATTACAGAGGTTAAATTGGGTAGTATAAAAACTAACTTGGGCCTTCAACTCAATTGGTATGGTCTGACATGGAGCCCTTTATATTATCAAGGAAGTTTCCAAACTTTAATTTTTTTTAACAATAATCTTTTTAAAAGATCTTAATTTAATCAAACTCATATTTAATGCTAATTTTTTAAAAATTTTTATTTATTTATGATAGTCACACACAGAGAGAGAGAGAGAGAGAGAGAGAGAGAGAGAGGCAGAGACACAGGCAGAGGGAGAAGCAGGCTCCATGCACCGGGAGCCCGACGTGGGATTCGATCCGGGGTCTCCAGGATCGCGCCCGGCCAAAGGCAGGCGCCAAACCGCTGCACCACCTAGGGATCCCTTTAATGCTAATTTAAAAAATAGCCTTAGAATAAACTCTCACAAGTGTGCACTCTGGCCTCCTTTTATTAAGAGATAATATATATCAGGTACTTTGAAAGGTGCTGGAATCCCGGCCCTCATGAGGCAAAAGAGTCTGAAGGAAGGAATCTCAGATTCAGATCTTGGTTCTATTACTTTTTTCATCTGTGTAACTTTGAGCCACTCCACTTTCCTGATGCTCAGACTTTTCATATGTAAAATGGGAATACTATCACCCAGATCGAAGGAGTAAGTGGGACACCACACCACAAGTACCTAGTACAGTGCCTGGCACACAGTAATCGCTCCACAAAAGGTAGCAAATATATATATTTTTTTACTCCAAAGGATACTGCTTATTTTAATGTTTTAAATACACTTCTTAATCTTTTCTTATCAGTATTCACAGACCTTGACAATCCTTCAGAAATTATTATTCAAGTACTACTCAGTGGGATCATACTATGTGTCAGGCCCTGGGACTATGAGGGAGGACAAACATAAAACCAATAATTACCAGGGTTACAAAAAGAAAATGTGCCATGGAAGCACATAACAGTGGTACCCAATTCAGGGAAACCTTAAAGAAGTACTAAACGGAGACCTGAGACAAATGAAGAAATTAGGCAGGCAAAAAAAGCACTGTATGCAAAGCAACACACTTAAGAGTCCCTGAGGCAAACACATGGTGAGCTGAAGGAACTGGAAGATGTACAATATAATTGGAACCAAGAGAGCAAGGGAGATGAAGTCTAGGTACATGAGCCTGGAGAGGTAGGCAGGGCCATATTCTGCAGGACCAAGTAAGCCAAGTTAAAAATTATAAGACTTTATCCTAAGGGCAAAGGAAGATACTAGGGTTTTATGGAACTCTGCAATTTAACTTATGGGATGCAGAGTAAAGAACAGACTGGATGGGGTTAAGTTTGAACGCAGGGATATCAGTTAGAAAGTATTGTTGAATTCTAAGTGTCAAGTGAAAAGAGTCAGTCCAAAGGCAGTATTAGTGGGATGGAGAGAAAGAGACTTGTTCAAGAACAGAAGTAGAATCAATCAACAAGATGTGGTCATAGATTGTGCATGGGGAGGGTATTTTGGGAAGTCATTATCTCAAAAACAAGGATATCCTCAATAAAATGTATTTTTGTTTTTCATGATATAAATGTAAATAAAGCATTTTACATAAAGTATTACTACATATTCCTGAAGCAGTACACAAAGTTAAAAATTTTAGGCCACGGGATGATTTATTTCAACTTTATGAGGTATAACACACGAGAAGTCTTACTGAGTGAGCGTCTATGTTTTTGAAACCACTTTGCTATGTTGATGGTAATTCTGCATTAAAGATCATCTAACAGCTACCAAATGAGTTTTAACATGCAACACGCGGATTGAAAATAAAGCGGGAGGGACCATAGATATAATAAACACTTCTTCTTTCTATGAGGCATATTTTGGTTCTTAAAGGAAAAAAAAATAAGTTTTTTACTCTTTTCCCTTCTGTGTTTCCACGTCTGAAAATAAATTAAGCAGGAGGATATTATGAGCGAACCAAAGTATACATAAAGTAAACTTTGGCTCTCTGATACTCTCAGCCAAATGCGTTTTTAAGGAAAAAATTGTTTCACACTTGCATGCCTTTTCACCAAGCATACCAGTGTGATTTATTGTTTACTGGAGAATCATGGTTTGTGTTCCAATCATTTAGGTGCAAGCTTTTTTGTACCTACAACCTGAACCCTCTTCATGAAAGGCCCTGGCCTACTCATTTTTCTTTTCAGCTCGAGTCCTTTCCAGGAAGCTGTCTTCCACCTTTCTCCCACCCCATTATCCTCTCAATTCCCCAAACCCTGAACACATCTTTATTTTACCGTGAATGCAATGAATTATAATTCTGGCTTTCTTTTCTACCTTCTTCATTCAATTGCATGCTTCTATAGGGCAAGGCAGTGACTTTCAATTCTGCATTCTTAAATGTTTCACACACAGACCCAGAAGCAAACTGACATACATAACCAGCTTTAAATGGCAGCAGGTTTGGAATTGAATCTCCTTTAATACTTTCTCATACTTCTTTTCAGGAAACAGCTGACACTGTACAGAGTATATGCGGGGGGGTGGGTGGGGGGGGCGCACCGGAGCATACATTTTGGAAAAGTATGTTCAAATAAGAAAATAAACCTTCGGGGAATCCCTGGGTGGCTCAGCGGTTTGGCGCCTGCCTTTGGCCCAGGGCGCCGTCCTGGAGTCCCGGGATCGAGTCCGGCGTCGGGCTCCCGGTGCATGGAGCCTGCTTCTCCCTCTGCCTGTGTCTCTGCCTCTCTCTCTCTCTCTCTCATGAATAAATAAATAAAATCTTTTTAAAAAAGAAGAGAAACCTTTTGTTTTTGTATAAACATCAGAGAAAGTAAAGCCTAACACACTTGGCTGCAGGAACTTTAATTTTAAAAGGTTGAGAAACAGCATCTAACACCTCCTAATTAACGCTGTTATTAATTCCATACGGGTAGAATAAACTAGTTGGATCTATGCAGAATAAGTAAAATGCCCCAAAACAAAGGTCTGGGAAGCTTTTCTGTAAGCAATGTGTTTAGGTTTTGCGATGCGAAGACTTTGGGTACACTGGCATGTTCCCTCTAACCTTGACTCATGCAGTCCCTAGGGTGGAATGCCTTAAAACCTCCTCTCGGCCCCCTATACGCAGGGTTTAAGACTCCAATCCTCCTACATCACACCCTGACTTCGTCCTTCTCTAAAGTCCTAGGGCAATTTTGTCTGCGATACAAAATTTAATAACTCCTCTCTGCCCAGTATTTTCTGCTGTCTGCTCACATCGAACAAAAACAGCCTCAACAGCGGCAGGGAGAAACGCTCGAGCGCCAACAGTATGGAAAGAAGTTAATCTAGTTCAACACTCACGTGGCAGCTGAGAAGTCAAACCTAGCTCATAATAAAGCCCAACCTCCGTTTGTCGGAGAAAAAACGCGACAGAGTCAACGTCTTATCTAACCAAAGGGACCCGTCAAAGGATGGAGATCTCCAGGCAGCTGGGGGCGGGGGGGTTGGGGGTGGGGATTAGATTCAAACCTCCTCAACAACAGCAGCGCTTTCCTTGGCTCACTCCATTTTCTACTCCCCTTCCCAAGGTGCAAACGAAGAAGTCCAAAAGGATACGGCATCACCTTTGGCCTCTGACCTAGGAGCAGAGACTCACCAGTTTCATATTGGACTTCTGGTTTTCAGCACCAGACACTCCACTTCTCACACGCAGAAAGCGTCTTCCGGTTCAATCTCCGCCACCGGCCAGCCGACAGCATCGCGGGACATGCAGTCCTTTCTTCTCCACGCCCCCTCCCCCGGGACGTCATGGGAAATGTAGTCTTCTCTGGGTGCATCATGGGGACTGTGGTCATCTTTCTCTTCCGTCCCTTTTCCTCTCTAACGCCTCCTTCGGCCAACTCAAATTCATCCCCGCCGCCAATTCATCCTCCCTCTGCAGCCCAGCATGATATCATGTCCCCTCTGTGGGCCTGGGACGCATAGTATTCTGGGATGTGTAGTCCCCATGGCTCTGGCGCCCCCCTTTCCCCTCCTCCCTGTGGGAAGGCGGATGGGCGCGGGCCTTGCCGGGAGCTGTAGTTCCCTGGGGCCTCTGGATGCCGAGTCCCAAGCTTTTACTCAAGGGAGGCAAGAACTACAACTCCCAGGGCCGCCCGGCTGCAGCAGGTGGGAGCGGGGCTGTTGATATCAATATGGCGGTTGTCAGCCAGACAAAGACAGTCAGTCTGATGTGATTGAGACAGGGGAGGTTTTCAGGGGGAGACTGGGAGATAGGGGCCTCCCCTCCCCCTTCTCCTCTTCCTGCGCGGGCCTCAACCCCTCCCCAGTCCCCTTCCGACTGGCGCCCCACGCGGAAGACACCCCTCCCCCTCCCGCTTTCCCCTCCTCCCTGCCTCAGCCCTTGGTACTGGGACGTTGGGGAGGGGGTTGTGCCGGGCGGAGAGAACTCAGCAAGGATTCTGAGGTGAGTCGAGCGGTTCTGAAGCCGGACTACCTCAAGTCTCTTTCCTCACTTCTTTCTCTTTACTTTGTTGTTGTTGTTGTTGTTTTTGAGGGGTTTTGGGGGAGTAAGTGAGTGGGGCTGGGGCTGGGTCTCTTAGGCGGCCGGATTGAGAGGAGGGAGGAAGCAGGGGGCTTCCGAGTGGGTAACCCGGGCGCAGGGTGTGGGGTGTGGGGTGGGGCAGTTTGTGGGGGCGGCAATTGAAAGGCGTCGGCTGCTCCCCAACTCTCTCTCTCTCTCTTTTTTTTTTTTTTTCCTCCTGGTTTCTCCACTGTGGGCGGAAGGTTTGAATCCTGGAGGTGGGGTCTCCTGTTTGGAGTTTGTGAAACTGCGAGGTGAATTGGAGGTGCTGTGTGGGGTCTGTTTGGGGTTTGTAACTGTGTTTTAAACTGTGACGTGTACTTGGTGTGATGTGTTAGCCTTGAATAAACGTGTGTTCGGTGGGAAGTTAGGTAGCCGGAGTCCTAGCTTTTATCTGGGCCTGGGCAGAGAAGCGTGTGCAGGAGGTCCGGGTCCTGGACCCCTGGGCTCGGCGGCGTGGTGCGGGGTGGCCGGGGGTGAGCAACTCGTTGGGGTCCCATTACCCGCTCACACTTCTGCTCCCCGCCTCCGCCCCCTCCCCTGGACAGATCTCCACGCTCCGCCCCCCAAACTCCCGGCTGAAGAATTTTAGACATGAGGTGGTGTGGAGCTGGATTTTTTTTTTTTTTTTTTTTTTTTTGGCATCCTTTAAGTCCAGAGGCAGGTGGGAAAGGAAAAGTGTTCTTTAATATTTTATTCCGGAACCGTGTTTTGGTTACACGATTGGGGCTACTTTGAAAGGAGTCCTCCACCCACCCTCACACCCCGAAACAGTAGGTGGGTGTATGTCGCCGGGTTCACGTTAAACGCATCAGATAAGGGTACTCGAGGTTGGCGGGCGTGCGGCGGGGGTCTGGAGTGCTGCTGACACGGGTATGCGTCTGTCTTCTGCGTGCCTGCTGAAGACACAGGATGACGGCTGTGTGTCTGGGGACAGGGGACACTTATTTTCGTAGTGGGGGGGGAACTGTTGGAGATTATTGGGGTGGGGGTGGGGGGGGCGAGGGGAGTAGCTGATAGGCGCTGGTTGTATTTTTCGTCTACCCCACCCTGTTCTGTCTCGGATTTGCCTGAAAGCTGGTATGGAAGAGTGAGGAAGCAGTGGGTGAGTGGGGAATGGAAGGCAGTTGACATTAAAGATACTATACTGTATAAAGTTGAATGGTATAAAGTGATTGCTGTTTTTTGTTTTGTTTTGTTTTGTTTTTACCTTGAAGCTTTAAAAATTCTTATGCATCTAATAGGGTAGAGTGATGTGTGTGACTAGTTCATCTCTCCGGGATCCTGCAGGTATAGAAACCCCTCTTCCCTTCCCTCCTTTCCTTCCTTCCCTTTCCTTCCTTCCTTTCCTTTCCTTTCCTTCCTTTCCTTTCCTTTCCTTTCCTTTCCTTTCTTTCCTTTCCTTTCCTTTCCTTTCCTTTCCTTTCCTTTCCTTTCCTTTCCTTTCCTTTCCTTTCCTTCCTTTCCTTCCCTCCCTTTCCTTTCCTTTCCTTTCCTTTCCTTTCCTTTCCTTTCCTTTCCTTTCCTTTCCTTTCCTTTCCTTTCCTTTTTCCTTTCCTTTCCTTTCCTTTCCTTTCCTTTCCTCCCCTTCCTTCCTTTCCTTTCCTTCCTTCCCTTCATCCTCCTTCAGTCCTTCCCTTCTTTCTTGGCGTGCTACCTTTCTCTTCCCGGGTGGACATGATGCCTCCTGTGCCTGTTTTATTTCGTTTGCGCTAATAAAGAGTTGTGCTTTCCGTGATTTTACTATAAAAATGCATCATTAGATGAAAAGGACTTGCATTTATTTTTATTTGCATTTATGCCACAGGTAATTGTCACGTCCGGATTGAAGTGCTTTGCGTTTAAACCGATTTTAAAATGGCACAACTAAGTTGTTAGATCTAGTTAAATTGTGTTCATAAGCCAAGTTTGGGAAATTTGAATTCTGATTTTTTTTTCTCAAGTTTCAAGTAGAGTTATCTAGGCAAGAAGATTGAAATACCATCTTTTTTTTCCTCACAGTCTTTAATATTTAATGACATTACACCAGCAGAATTTAAGACCATGTATTTTGTAGTTTCTTCAGTCTGAAATAGAAGTTTTTCAGTAGCACTCCTTCAGTGACAGTTTTTTTTTTTTTTTTTGTGTGTGTGTGTGTGTGTAATGGACCTTTACCTAACTAAAGAAATTGGTATAATTGCTCTTTTGATTGTTGAGACTTAGGGTATTTACATATTTGCCTCCAAACTTAACAATTCTGGAACCTGTCAGTAAAGGACCTTAGATTCCATAAAAACTGAAAGTCACATAGATACAGTAGGTAGTCTTATGATGTGATAAGCTTTGATTTGAAATTTCTGCAGTTGATCATTCACACAGATTGGCTGACTGTAAACGTGAGGTAGAATATATATTTAGATTGACCTGAATAGAAAAAAAAATTGATGTCTTCTGAATCTCAAATTTAGAATATAACTATGTGATACAAAGTCAAACCTTTGGTGGTTTTGTTTTGTTTTGTTTTGTTTTTGTTTTTGTTTTTTTGACTAGGATGTCTAGAATTTTTTGTTTTAACCTTCTATCTTACTCTGAAACATTACTTTGCCAAAACTGGAGGAAAATCCTATGTAACTACATAATAAAGTATATTTTTGCTGAAAGATATTGTTAGATGTGGAGTTTTTTAAATGTTCAATACTTGTTTTAGAAATAAAAAGCTAAAATATTTAAGAGTTGGAAAAACGAAACAGTATTTCTTTCCCACCTACCCGTACCTCAGATTTTCTTTTTATTTGTTTTCTTCCATGAAAGTGCAGAATTACTTACTGGGAAGAGCTTTCATTAAACTTTTTCTGACTAGTAGTCTGGTTAAAATCACTAAAAGCTAACCAAACATATTCCTTGCTTTGGGGGGGGGATTATTCTGTTGCATTTTAAGCACTGAGCATTAAAATGATGTAAAGCCTTTACTGCAGGTTAAAGCATAAAACATTGTCAGCATGTGGAAGTCATATGGTTTATGAAAAAAGTAGAAAATCAGGGCATTGGTGCCTGTCCAGCATAAAATTTCATCCCGTAACTGTGAAAGACACATTTATTTTAATATGATTGCTTCTAAAAATGTTGCCTGTATTATGGGAAGTTGAGAATCCAAACTGTTTTTAACCAATCTGTTGCTAGTTTAGTGTACTGTGTATCATGAATACTGTGGTTGCAAATGTGCATCAAGGAGCCTTTAGGGGTCAGCTCTATGTTGAACATCTTTAGTGAGGCTTCGTTCTCATTGCTGTATGAACAGATTTCACTCTTAGCACAAACCCTTAGTTGAAGCATCACTAATAGAAATTTAATAGCCCATTATTGGTAAGTTATAAAATATATTGCACCAAATCTCTATTGTTTCATCATTTAAAAAAAATAGAAGTAGCCAGTTTATGACAATTTTTGTTGCAAGTATCTATTGGAATGGGATTGCTTGTTTCAGTAGTTGTTTAATACATTGCGGATGTTTATGCTAAATTTGTTCATTTGGGGTCTTGTGTATCTTATAATCAGTCCATCCTACTTTTAAATGTTGCAGACAACTTCCAGGTTTCCTGTAAAACCACATTTGCTTTTTTGATTCATTTCTTTGCAGCTCTTGCTTCTATTATTTTTGTATGCAGATCTTTAAACTTGAGTTATTTTTCTTAGAAATTAGAAATGTATCCTAAGATGTCATTTTTCATAAATGAAAGTTGGTATACCACTCAGCTTTTTAGTAATGTGAATGCTTATAGGTAAAGTAGAAAGTGCTCAGTGAGAATGTGTTGGGTTTGTTTAGAAAAACTGCTTTATTTAGGTTTTTTTGGCTTCCAGAATTATTTTGTAGCTTTTTTTTTTTTTGCTTTTTGGCCAGATTTTTCTCTTAACTGTTGGCTTTTGCTTTTCAATTTAGTAGAACTTTAATTTGTAAAAAAAATTGTTATGAGTGGGAATCACAGCTAGTCTAGAGTTTCATATAGCTACATTTACATACTCACTTACATAAAGCACCTTTATGTTTGTTTATATGTGAAATTGGTATATATCTATGAGACCTGCAACCTGTAAAAAAAAGAATCTGAACCACAAATAACAGGACACCAAACAGTGGCTCAAGCTAGAAGCCAGAGTAACTACCACCATATGCTGTCCACATTATAGAAGCTATGGAGATTGTCAGTATCATTATAAACTGTTGTTTTAACATATTCTGCCAAAATCTGTTTCTCTCAAAATGGAAGCTATTGATACTGATTTTTTTCTGAAAGTAATGTTACTTAATATGTGACTTAGATTCCCAGGTTCAGCTGTCTCCCCACCTGACCCATACTGGTTATACTGGCCCATCATAAGTACAGAGTAAAGATTTTTCTGACTGATTATATGAGGTATAACTTTTAGTTAGAGTCTATTTAAACATAATCCAGTACTGTAGATAACTTGTTTTTCTTGATCTTAGATGAAACAAGTTGGAAATTTACTATAGTATGGTCTTGGACACTTTCCAAGAGTATTTAGTTACTGGAAGGCTTTGGCTTTAGCATAGTTTTACCCTTACAAAGTTAATAAGTTTGAAGTTACAGTAAGTTTTTCCAGTAGTTATTATAATTCTAATACAGTACTTTACAGGTCCTTAACTTGGGGTATAAGGATAGTGTTTTTTGTTTTTGTTTTTTCATTTACAAACGAAAGTTTAAAAAAATATATTTAGCTTGAAGTTATGAGTTATATACCTTTTTTGAATTTTAAAACAGGTGTCCATAGATCCCTCCTTATAAATGATGAAATGATTCTAATTCACTCAAAGAGCATTTAGATTTTTTTAACTTAGAGTGCTGATTATGATAAGAATGTTTACTAAGTTGCACATATTCTCTGTG